TCTACAGGGACTTAGAAAATTCCCAAATTTAATTTTGAGTCGACTATGATCCCAGCAATCTACAGTAAAATAAATAAAAGGGGGAGTTTTGATGGGAAAATATTGGATAAGAAAAAGTAATTTATAGTGAAAATAAAGAAGATTGAAAATGTAAAGTTGAAAATAACTATGGTAAAAAGCAGTCTCAAGCCGTGCTTAACTCAATTCGTTTATGATCATCGAAATGGATTTTCACTTCGGGATTCATGCCGGTTACAATCTACAAGGCCCAACTCTTGTAACTTACTTTTCACTTTGGTTACTGATCATCCAGCTTTTAATTGAATCAACTACGACAATCGTCGTTAGCACAAAACAATTTTATTTAGGAAAAGCACAACTCGAATTATGTTGTCTTGCTGAGAATCGAACTCGATCTTAGTTTTCCTTAGCGGACCGTCACTAAGTGTGTTCACGAGAAGTCGGATATGCTACAAACTGATCTTTCCTCCGAACTTTAAATCAGAACAACATCCAGACCAACGAACTCTTTTTGAAATGAAAGTGTTTTAATTTTAAATGATAGGTCGATTACCTATCCAAGTTTCTAAAAAACTGAGAATGACATCCTAAATATATTAAGTAGTTTTCAATTCTCACATATTGAATTGAGTCATCGCTTAGCCTTTCAGATTATGAAAAAATTAGCTAAGTATGATACAAGTCATACTTAGCATGTTTAAAATAAAAATAGAAAAAAGATGAAAAAATAAAAACTTTTATAAAATCAAATAACCCAAAAGCTATTGAATCAAATATAAAAACAAGTGTGTTTCAAGCTTTACCCAAAAGGTATTCATATCTCCTTAAATCCTAAAGATAATCATGAAAATTAAAAGATAAATAAATCTTAAAGATAATTCCAAATGTTTTCAAATTCAAACTTTAAATTTCAAAAAACAAATCCTTCTAAAATATCTCTCTCTGTCCACCTTCCAAAAGGTGTTGACTATATTTTTAGAAAACTGCTCCTAACTGGACCTTCTAAAAGCCACCAAGTCAGACTGCATCATGTCCAATGTCGTGCCCATGTCTTCAGTCATGATCAAATAATAAAAAATGCATAATATGTCATTTTTAATGTTAATTCTGAAAAATAAAATCATGCACGAAAATAAGCACAATACAACCAAATCAACAGTAATAAATCCACAACAAGAAAGAATTAACAAGCAAATATTGTCAATTTAGAACACTCAACAAATAGTCTTATCCTTTTTTTTTTGTCCTATTGCTAACATTATTGAGGAGACAAAGCATAATTAATAGATTTGAATTATCAACAATATACTTTATATCAACACCGGTAGCTGCAATTAAATTGGGACATGCCACCTGAGGATATTTTGAAACCATTTTATTTCAATCATATATAACTAAAGCTCTTCATTCTCTTGCCTTCAATTCTTTCCTTGTCCAGGTGGGTCTTACTAATATACATAAGACTCCATCTTGAGGGGATTGTTACAGCTATAGTCGGCAGTTAACAACAGTTAGTAAGATGCTTAATTAAATAGTTAGCAGTAAGTTACCGGTAAATTATTGCTATAAAAACACTGGTATATTTAGAAAAATACAAGATATGAAAAGAAAATAATAAAGGAAATTGTTAGGCCGAAAAATAATTGGAACCTTGAGATTATGAATGGAAAAGTTTAAAGAAAGCTGCAAAAATAAGAACATTTGGAGTAAAATCGTAGCAAGCGTATATATATTGATGCAAATGAAAGTCTTTACATTGATTCAACATGAAGTGTTATTCATATTATTCGAAATATATATTTTTTTTAATTCAGCAGTTGGATGAAGCATCTGTAGAATAAAAAACAATAGATGGTGTCATTTACAAGGAAGACGGTGATGACATCTGTACATGCATTCAGCAGGAACGTATTACCATTAACTTAACTAATTACCGCTGAAGTTGAACCCAAGCAAGCAGCTGTGTTTCATACCAACACAAAAGGCTGCTGCTGCTTTCTACAATCCAACAATTATCCATCCGTACTCCTTTTACTCTCTATCCAGAATCTGCTAAACTATAAATATCCATTTTCTACCAGACGCTTTTCATTCATCTAATTAACAACTCAGCTTCAGCTTTATTCACTCAATTTTCCGATCTACATCATCCTCTCAAACCATGAATCTCACTGGGCCTTTTTGTGGAGTTATTGTGATTTTCTTTGCCATGTTGGGCACAAATTCAACGTCTGCAACAAAAAACTACAATGTATTAAACTTTGGGGCTAAGCCAAATGGGAAAACAGACTCCACCAAGGCTTTCCTCATGGCATGGCAAGCAGCCTGTGGCTCGGCAGACTCTACCCTGATATATGTACCCAAAGGGCGGTATTTGCTCGGTTCTACGTCTTTCCGAGGTATCTGCAAAAGCCCTCGAATCACTTTCAGAATTGATGGCACCCTTGTCGCCCCTCTAGATTATCGAGTCCTCGGCAAAAGTACCGATTGGATCAGCTTCCAAGGAGTCAATGGCGTTTCCATCGTTGGCGGTGCACTTGATGCCAAAGGATCATCTCTCTGGGCTTGCAAACATTCCCACACCAACTGTCCTGCCGGAGCCACGGTACTATTTTCAATCGATATTCATTTTTGAATTCATAAATCATTCTAAAGTAGTCCTTCATCACCGTATCTCATTCCGATTTTCATTTGTGTGTGAGAGCAGACATTAAGCTTTACCAAGTCCAAAAACATCAGCATCCGTAGATTATTATCCTTAAATAGCCAAATGTTCCACATCGTGATCAATGGATGCGAAAACGTGAACATCCAAGGGGTTAAGATCATGGCGCTGGTAATAGCCCCAACACAGATGGCATCCATGTGCAGTTATCCAAAAATATCAACATCATAAAATGCTCCATTAAAACGGGTGATGATTGCATCTCCATTGGCCCTGGTACCAAGAATTTATGGATCGAACAAGTCACTTGCGGTCCTGGTCATGGAATTAGGTACTTTTGATATTTTTTACAATAGAACTTAAGCAGTTTTATCTCCTACTAACTTCTCATACCATATATAATTTTAATTGATTTGTTTGCACTATGCAGCATTGGCAGCTTAGGAAAAGGCTTGAAAGAGGAAGGGGTCCAAAATGTTACAGTGAAAAATACAACTTTTGTGGGCACTCAAAATGGGCTGAGGATCAAGTCCTGGGCTAGGCCTAGTACAGGATTCGTTCGAAGGGTTCGGTTTATGGATTCTTTGATGGTAAATGTACAAAATCCCATCGTAATTGATCAGAATTATTGCCCTCGCAATCTAAATTGTCCTAACCAGGTATAAAATATCATCATTCTAGTATTTATTTAGACCGAAAATTTACCCACACCTTTGATTTGTATTTATCCCGGGTTTATGTTTACCGTAAATGGTTGAACTAATCCTTCCTTATATGCTGCAATGATGTCAGATATCTGGAATAAAAGTTGATGATATCGTATACCAAGGTATTCGAGGAACATCATCGACCCCAGTGGCTATCAAATTTGATTGTAGTCCCAAGAATCCATGCACCGAAGTAAGATTACAAAATGTCAATTTGACATATTTGAAGAAAGCATCTCAATCATCTTGTATCAATGTTCGTGGGAAAGCATTTGAGTTAGTTCGACCTGAAAGTTGCTTATAGATCTTAGAGATCAATTGAGTGAACAAAACCTCCCCTCTATGTTTTTCATACATTAATTTATCGGGTGTAAATTATTCATTCTTTTTCAGTGATAATAAATAAATGATATAAAGTTTATTTATACAATTTAAGCATGAAAATACTACTCATTCAATTTTAAATTTTTTATGTGCATGTCGCTACCAAAATGGCTAGTAAAATGTACTTGTAGGAATATGTGTGGCTCGTATTGTTTGTCGTGATTCCTCGTTCTCGTCTATCTAGTTTTTAATCTGCGCATGAAAAATGGATCGTACGCTATGCCATGCATCGAAGCTTAATGATGCTATATGTAAAATAAATAATGACAATATCATTAAGAACTTAATCATGCAAATAACTATAAATTCAACGTATACATAATATCATGATATTTGTTACAACTATAGTTAGTAATTAGCGATAGTTAACAAGATGGTTAACTAATTAGGTTTGTTTCTCAATGAGTTCTAAAAGCATTTTTATTGAAGTACTACTGAAATTTTAGTGCCTATTCATGAACTCTTGAAAGCATAAGGAATATGGCATAAGTAACCAAAGTTTTAAGATATTAAAGTACCAATTCCTTCTTTCTTTTATTTTCTCTCCATCTGTTAAAATTACCAATTACAGTCGCATCTCTCTCTTTCTTTTTATCGGGAGAAATTATTATAGGTACATGGATCACCATGTTAATTCGGATGCCTTTTCGGAGGGTAAAATCTCTATCATGTTTTATGATTTTTATTGAGTTTTTTTTAAGGGTAAAATCTCCATCTTGTTTCCTAATTTCTATTTCTATTTTAAATTTCTCTTTGGAAGTTAACTCGAGTGTCTAACTATCGGTGACTACTAACTATAGTTGTAACAAATATCATGATATTATGTATACGCTGAATTCATAGGTAGTTACATGATTTAAGTTCTTAATGATATTGTCATTATTACTTTTACATATAGCACCATTAAGCTTCGATGCATGACATAGCGTACGATCCATTTTTCATGTGTAGATTGAAAACTAAATAGACGAGAACGAGGAATCACGACAAACAATACGAGCCACACATATTCCTACAAGTACATTTTACTAGCCATTTTGGTAGCGACATGCACATAAAAAATTTAAAATTGAGTGAGTAGTATTTTCATGGTTAAATTGTATAAATAAACTTTATATCATTTATTTATTATCACTGAAAAAGAATGAATAATTTACACCCGATAAATTAATGTATGAAAAACATAGAGGGGAGGTTTTGTTCACTCAATTGATCTCTAAGATCTATAAGCAACTTTCAGGTCGAACTAACTCAAATGCTTTCCCACGAACATTGATACAAGATGATTGAGATGCTTTCTTCAAATATGTCAAATTGACATTTTGTAATCTTACTCCGGTGCATGGATTCTTGGGACTACAATCAAATTTGATAGCCACTGGGGTCGATGATGTTCCTCGAATACCTTGGTATACGATATCATCAACTTTTATTCCAGATATCTGACATCATTGCAGCATATAAGGAAGGATTAGTCCAACCATTTACGGTAAACATAAACTCGGAATAAATACAAATCGATGGTATAATTTAGAAAGACCTTATTGTATACCTGGTTAAGACAATTTAGATTGTGAGGAGAATAATTCTGATCAATTACGATGGGATTTTGTACATTTACCATCAAAGAATCCATAAACCGAACCCTTTGAATGAATCCTGTACTAGGCCTAGCCCATGACTTGATCCTCAGCCCATTTTCAGTGCCCAAAAAAATTGTCTTTTTCACTGTAACATTCTGGACCCCTTCCTCATTCAAGTCTTTTCCTAAGCTGCCAATGCTGCATAGTGCAAACAAATCAATTAAAATTATATATGGTATGAGAAGTTAGTAGGAGATAAACTGCTTAAGTTCTATTGTAAAAAAATATCAAAAGTACCTAATTCCATGACCAGGACCGCAAGTGATTTGTTCGATCCATAAATTCTTGGTACCAGGGCCAATGGAGATGCAATCATCTCCCGTTTTAATGGAGCATTTTATGATGTTTATATTTTTGGATAACTGCACATGGATGCCATCTGTGTTGGGGCTATTACCAGCGGCCATGATCTTAACCCCTTGGATGTTCACGTTTTCGCATCCATTGATCACGATGTGGAACATTTGGCTATTTAAGGATAATAATCTACGGATGCTGATGTTTTTGGAGTTGGTAAAGCTTAATGTCTGCTCTCACACATAAATAAAAATCGGAATGAGATACGATGATTTATGAATTCAAAAATGAATATGGATTGAAAATAGTATCGTGGCTCCGGCGGGACAGTTGGTGTGGGAATGTTTGCAAGCCCAGAGAGATGATCCTTTGGCATCAAGTGCACCACCAACGATGGAAACGCCAATGACTCCTTGGAAGCTGATCCAGTCGGTACTTTTGCCGAGTACTCGATAATCTAGAGGGGCGACAAGGGTGCCATCAATTCTGAAAGTGATTCGAGGGCTTTTGCAGATACCTCGGAATGCCATAGAACCGAGCAAATACCGCCCTTTTGGTACATATATCATGGTAGAGTCTGACGAGCCACAGGCTGCTTGCCATGCCATGAGGAAAGCCTTGGTGGAGTCTGTTTTCCCATTTGGCTTAGCCCCAAAGTTTAACACATTGTAGTTTTTTGTTGCAGACGTTGAATTTATGCCAAACATGGCAAAGAGAATTACAATAATTCCACAAAAAGGCCGAGTGAGATTCATGGTTTGCTACTCAACAGAAGATTGAGAGGATGATGTAGATCAAACAATTGAGTGAATGAAGCTGAAGCTGAGTTGTTAATTAGGATAATTAGGTGAATGAGGTGCGTCTGGTAGAAAATGGATATTTATAGTTTAGCATATTCAGGATAGAGAGTAAAAGGAGTACGGATGGATAATTGTGGGATTAAAGAAAGCTGCAGCCTTTTGTGTTGGTATGAAATACAGCTGCTTGCTTGGATTCAACTTCAGCGGCAATTAGTTACGTTCCTGCTGAATGCATGTACAAATATCATCACCCAGCCTCTTCCTTGTACATCACAGTATCTATTGGTTTTTATTCTATAGATGCTTCATCCGACTGCTGGATTAAAAAAAATATATAATTCGGATAATATGAATAATCAATCGAAACTAAAGGCAGGGCCGTTTACTTCATGTTGAATCAATGTAAAGCCTTTCATTTGCATCAATATATACGCTTGCTACGTTTTTACTCCAAATGTTCTTATTGCTGCAGCTTTCTTAAAACTTTTCCATTCATAATCTCAAGGTTCCAATTATTTTTCGACCAATCACTTGCCTATATTGAAGCCGCCTGCAATTAATTGGTGAGCATGGTTATTAATTGCTAACATTATTGAGGAGACAAAGTTTCATTAATAGATTTGAATGGTCAACAATAGAATTTATATCAGCATAAGTAGCTGCAATTAAATTGGCACATGCCACATGAGGATATTCTGAAACTATGTTATTTGAATTATAACTAAAGCTCTTCATTCTCTTGCTTTCAATTCTTTCATTGCCAAGGTGGGTCTTATTAATATACATAAGACTCCCTCTTGAGGGGATTATTATAACTATAATTAGCGGTTAACAACAGTTAGTAAGATTATTAGTTAACTAATTAGCAGTAAGTTACTGGTAAATTACTGCTATAAAAACACTGGCATATCTAGAAAAATACAACTTATGAAAAGAAAATAATAAAGGAAAATTGTAAGGACGAAAAATAATTGAAACGTTGAGATTATGAATGGAAAAGTTTTAAGAAAGCTGCAGCAATAAGAACATTTGGAGTAAAAACGTCCAAGGGGTTAAGATCATACCCGCTGGTAATAGCCCCAACACCGATGGCATCCATGTGCAGTTATCCAAAAATGTCAACATCATAAAGTGCTCCATTAAAACGGGTGATGATTGCATCTCCATTGGCCCTGGTACCAAGAATTTATGGATCGAGCAAGTCACTTGCGGTCCTGGTCATGGCATTAGGTACTTTTGATATTTTTTACAATAGAACATAGCAGTCTATCTCCTACTAACTTCTCATACCATATATAATTTTAATTGATTTGTTTGCACCATGCAGCATTGGCAACTTAGGAAAAGACTTGAAAGGAGAAGGGGTCCAGAATGCTACGGTGAAAAAGACAATTTTTGTGGGCACTCAAAACGGGCTGAGGATCAAGTCATGGGCTAGGCCTAGTACAGGATTCGTTCAAAGGGTTCAGTTCATGGATTCTTTGATGGTAAATGTACAAAATCCCATCGTAATTTATCAGAATTATTGTCCTCACAATCTAAATTGTCCTAACCAGGTATACAATAAGATCTTTCTAAATTATACCATCGATTTGTATTTATTCCGAGTTTATGTTTACTGTAAATGGTTGGACTAATCCTTCGTTATATGCTGCAATGATGTCAGATATCTGGAGTAAAAGTTGATGATATCGTATACGAAGGTATTTGGAACATCATCGACCCCAGTGGCTATCAAATTTGATTGTAGTCCCAAGAATCCATGCACCGGAATAAGATTACAAAATGTCAATTTGATATATTTGAAGAAAGCTGCTCAATCATCTTGTATCAATGTTTGTGGGAAAGCTTTTGATTTAGTTCGACCTGAAAGTTGCTTGTAAATTTCAATTTCGGATTAAGAAAAAATATAATTGGACCTTTAGATTTTATATAGCATTTATCTCAATAAATGAGTAACCCACTAAGCCATTAAAGATTTAACCCAATTATTTATTATGTGTGAATAGTTAAATATATATAAAAATATAATATAAGTATCGAATAATAAAAAAAAATCATTATTTGAGATTCAAACATATGACTAATAACTTTTATATGCATAATGTTTATCACTCCAATAATCATTTGTTGACTTAATTTTTCCAAGTTTAATTTTTTTTATTTTTAATGTATATTTTGCAGTGTGTGCATTATTCTGGTGCTACTTAATTTGATGACATCAATTCGATGAGAATAATAAGACCCGTAAATTAAAATAATATATATATATATATATATATATATATATATATGTATATATATAATTATAATAATAATTCAATTTCATTTTATTAATAAAAACAATCATTGAACGGAAATAATGCGCTAAATTGTAAAAAGTTCAATTATTTTTAAAAATATAACTTTTTAATTGAAAATTTAAGACCAAATAATTGGTTGATTAAGTAGTTAGTTTATTTTATTTTTAATTAAAAAATTAATTTTTTTCTTAATTTGGTGGTTGATGCACTTTTATGACTTGAATATATGGGTTTGTATTTTCTATATGGTAAAGTGCATTGTTTTGTTGAGTTTTTCGATTTTTAAAAGTTACAAAATGATCATTCGACTATTCATATATTTCAAACATGTCATTGCTCGTTAAAAATTTGGCTGACATCTAAGATGGATGTTAACATGTTTACTGAGATATAATAAAATATGATCTCATAATTGTTTTAGATGTATTTTATGATTCATATCTCCGTTTATATTACATCGTCGAGGTCAGTGCTTAAAACATTATGCTGGCGAGCTAATGCTTGAAAGCAATAACGGTGTCAGTAGACATCATTAAAATATGATTTTATCATATCTCGGTCAAAATGTTAACGTCCAACTCATATGGACGCCAATTTTTTAACAAAAAACTATGCTTTTGGAACATATAAATACTCGGATAATAATTTTACAACTTTTAATAGTCGAATGACTCAACAAAATAACATCTTATAGTCGAGAAATCATTTTGTAACTTTTAATAGTCAGTGGACTCAACAAAACAACGCCTTATACTCTAGAAACATTTATATACTTTACCCTTTCATATTAACATTTTTCATTATGTTATTTATTAGAATCAAATTTTTTTATATATAATTTGACTATGATTTAATTTTCAATTAAGATTTATATTGATTTATTGAGTTAAGTTATTTTTATGATTTCTCTATGTATTAGGACGTAGATTTTATTTAATGATTTTTCTTAGGGTAAATTATACTATTCATCATTGAATTTTACTCTCTCCTATTTCACTCATTGTACTTTCAAGTTTTGCAATCTACTCACTGAATTTTATAGATTGAATTTTTTTATCACTCAATAATAATGACATCAATTATTTTATAAATTTTTCATATGACATGTCATATTTTTATTAATATTTTAATATTATATATGATTATAAAAAATAAATTAAAAAATTAAATTATATACTCAAACTCAATTCTAAAAGTATACCTAAAATCCTAAACCCCACAATAAAATCTTCACCCCATGGCAGCACCTTCTTCTTTCAACTACAACACCTTCTCTCAACGGCACCTTCTTCTTCTTGGAACATAACAGTCATGTGGTTGTCATTTATATTTCAAGATTTGATGCTATGTGGAGGTGTGGTTGGGATTATAATTTGACCCACCATCGATGAGACACCATCCGCCAGTGGGAGGGTGAACTTGTCATGGGTGAGGGTGTTTGGGATTGTAATTTGAGGTTTATGGTTTGAGATTGTGGGATTAAGGGTTTGGATTTAAAATTTAAGGGTATAATTTTAAATTTTAAATTTTAAATTTATTTTAATCATATTTGGTATTAAAATATTAATAAAAATATTACATGTCATAAAAAATAATAAATAATCCATGTTATCGTTGAGTGACTAAAAAAATCAATCTATAAAGTTCAGTGAGTAAATTGAAAAAATTAAAAGTACATTTAATAAAATAGGAGAGAGAATAAAATTTAATAATGAATGGTGTAGTTTACCTTTTTTTTAAATAGCATATTATTAATTTAAACTTGAAAGTTTCACAAAAGATATTAACAACATTATAGTTGTTATGAACTTATTGAATTATTAACTTCCGATCAAAATAAATAAAAGGTATATATTATATGATCATGATTATTAATCAAATTGAAGGAAAAAAAAGCTTTTGATAAACAGTCAAATTATATATATTTTATATTATTTTTCCAATTATACACGCAACGTAATCACCTAATCCTTTGACCTAATAATCCAACGAAAATCCTTTGTTTATTAGCGTATCGCAACCTTCTCTAAAATAATGTCCCTAAATTCAACAATTCATTATAGTGACATCATATATGAATTAGAATTCGACTTATTTAATTAATGTCCCTCTAATTTTAAATCTATATAAAATATTTTTATAAATAAAAATGTTATCTCAACGAATACTTTTTACAATTAACTATTAATGAAAAGGGTAAACTACTCAAGTGACCACTTAATTATGGGTTAGTGTCAATATGACCAAGATACTTTTAATTTTTTCAATATAACTACATAATTATTTAAGTGATTTCAATCAAACCACCTGTCGTTAACATTTAACAGAACTATTGATATGACAGTTAAAAAAATTAGTACAATTATATATTTTGAGATATCTTGATGAGTTAAAATATAAAAAAAAATAAACTTGTTTTTTCTATTAATCTTGTATTAACTATAGTTTAAAATATATATGTAATTTATCTAATTATTAATCAAATATTAGATATGTTTTAGTGGTTTAAGTGCTTCCAAATTCTTTATGTGGTCCTTGACCATTTTTCTTTATTTCTTTTTTGTTGGCATGAACTACCGTATAAGGATTATACATATTTTTTTAATATATAACACAAATGTTGAGCTTGGTTAAGACCAAAATCCTTTTCAT